TTTTTTTTTTTTTTTTTTTTTTTTTTTTTTTTTTTTTTTTGCATTCCCGACAATTTTCATCACTCATAAAACCTGAGCCAACTTCCAGAATCGTCATTTTTGCCTTTGTTCTATTCATACTTTTTGTCATATTCCACTAGAAGATTTTTCTCTTACAAAGGGAGTCTTTATGCTTCTTCCGTTTCCAAGTAAATTGTCAGGTGTGATTAAAAGGAGGAGGCTCCTTGCTCAGGGCTATGATTTAATTCCCTCTGCACTGTGAGCTTTGAAACAGAGCGGTGCAGGCAGCATTTGACCGAGTAGCTCAGCATCTCCTTTACTCTGGCTTTTTGTCCCAGCTACAGTTTCCTGTCCCTGCTTGGGCTGCACACACACCTGCAGGACAGTAGCCGTGTTGGGAGGCCCTGCATGGCCCTCCAAAGCCTCCTGAAACCAGTGGTGCTGGGAGGAACTTGGCTCCCAATCCTGGAAGTGCAAGTCCGCTCTTTTATCTGCAGGGAGGGGGATGAACAGTAGTGAAAAAGCAATGAAAAGGGAATTTGTGCTCCAGGGCTCACTGGAGATTTCACTTCAGAGACCACCCAAGAGTGGGGGACTGTGGGAAGGTAATAGGATGGTTTGTGTTCTTTGGGAATGAGCACTAGCCAACCATCCCAAAAGGACAGGGTATGGTGGCTAGCTAGAAGTTATGAGATCTCCAGGAAAAATGTGGGATAGCATAAAGTAGATGAAGGACGTAAGGGAAATGCTCCTGGTGTGTAAGCCCTGTGAACAGGAGCACAAAGCTGTGAGCTCAGCAATGCCAGCGATGTTTTCCGTGGTGGACAATTCTGAAAGTTGTGACCAGGCAGGACAGCTCCACTGTGAGTTGAGTTTACGGCTCCCACAGAAACGGAGCTTCAGGAGAGACAGTGACTGTCTGTGGCAAGCAAAAAGGCTCCAGAACTGAGGGCAGTGGTGTGGTCAGGCCCTGCTGTCGCCTCTCTGTGCTGACCTGCAGCACGAGCAGAATCCAGCAGTCTGAGTGTCCCTGGCTCATGGTGCAGGGTGTGGAGGGGAGGGGATTGCTCATGTGAGCACACGGTGGATTGTTGGGCTGTCTCTGCAGACAGGCCCCAACAGCCCCTTCCCAACAGCCAAGTTCTTCCTTAGATCATTTGCCAAAGGAGGGGAGAAAGGGTATGGAAGGAAGAACAAAGGTACATTGCTGAGGAGCTCAAAGGGCACAACTCCCTCCCCTCCATCTGCAAAAAGCTGGAGACAGTACAGGACTGGATGTGTCCTTGGAATATCAGAAGTTGGCTGCTATGGAGAAGTGATTCCCTATGTTCCCATTTGCCACAGGTGAATGGAGACAAGTCTGTGCAGTTTGGAGAGCTGGAGGGTGGGAGTCTCGGCCATGATGGCTCTGGCCATTTCTGACTCTTGGAGTCAGCGTGTTCGTGTCGTGTGAGCTCCGGGCACGGGGCCAGGGGCCGCCCACTTGCTGCTCGTCCTCCCCAGGTGCAGATGGAAAAGGTGCAGCAGCGCGGGGGCGGCCGGGACGTGTCGCTCCCAGGAATGTGCTTCGTCCCCATCTTCATTTCCTCACCTTTGCCTGGGCAATGCTGTGGTTTGTCCTCTCTGATTGCAGCGGTGATGTGGGGAACGGGGAATGTCAGAGCCAAAGCCGGTACAGAGCCCCTGTGTCAGTCCAAATGCTCAGCCCTGCCCTGAGCAAAGCCCCTTGGAGTGGCACAGGTGTCACACTGTCACAGTCATGTCACACACAGGTGATTCACGGTTCTTCCTGGATGGGGGATTGCCTTTTCTTTCATCTTTTGTTTGCCATTGAACTGCTATGTCATAAAAACACACATTTCCCAGAATATCTGTGATACTTTGGTAATGCCACAGGGCAGCAATTAAAATCATGAGCATTAATTAAGATTTAAAACTACATTAACCACTCAAAGTTATTTCCATGACCTCCCATTGAACACAACCACAAGGACTGCATGCTATTTCTATCACACCCTTTGAAGTAAAAGGCTGAGTATTAAACCAGATCCTGCCTCTGTTCTTGCGCACGTGCACACTGCGAGCTCATTTTTAATCTAATTCAAATTAAGAATTCCAGTTCTATGGCATAACAGCAGCTTCATGGTAGCACAATGGTGTTTAAACATACAATTCAGTCTTACTTTGAGGGAAAATGGAGGTGAAGTTCTGGCTCCAAAATTACATATCAGCAGATGCAGATACTACCTGGATAAAACCACTTCCCTCTTTTTACCTGTTTATAAAGTTTGCCCTGGAACCAAATTATCACCGAGAAGTTCCCTAAAATGAGCTGAAAACCACACATTAATGTCTGTTTCTAAAGTGGTCTTTTCTGTCAGAGGAATTCAGTGTTGCCTGAGAAGTCAAGCCATCTTTCTGGACTGAATTCCCACTTTCTGAGACCTGCCTCAAGCTGCCGCTGCCTGTCATGAGCCACCTCTGCAGCTCCCTCCTCGGTAGGGTTTCCTAAGGTCAAGACTAATTATTAATGCTCAAGGCAGGAGAAAATTGACGTCTGTTTTCCAAACCTCCCTCACACTGTGCGGCAGCAGGAGTAATTAAAGCAGGGGATTTCATTAGCAAAGTGTTATTTGTTGTTTCTATAGGAACACAGGTGTGCCCAGACTTTTACAGGAGGAAAATATAAAGCAAGGGTGAATTCCAGTGAGGCACCTCAGCATCCCTGCACTGGGTGTTGCAAGGGCAGCAGCCAGAGGGGCACAGGCGTGGCAGGGGCCTCAGAGGAGCTGCAAGAGGTGTTGGTGGTCCCTGCACCACCCATGGGGACAACAGGGTCCCTAAGAGGTGACCTGGAACGTGGTGTGGCCGTGCAAGCTGTGTCTGTCCCGACCCTTCTCAGGCATCTGATCTTGAGTGATTCAACCCTGTCTTTATCCAGCCCTGGGACATGAATTCCCTCAGGAAGAGTCCCTGGATTGCTCTGGGCTCTCTCCTCAAGGCTATGGGAGTGGAGGGAGTGCAGTCTGCAGGACCGTGGAGGTGCTGGGGCTGGAAGTGCCTCGAGTTGGGAGGGTCAGGAATTGTGCTGCCACTGACCCATGGATCACTCGTGATGCTCCAGGAGCCTTTCTTCTGACCCCACTGAGGAGCTCACTGATCATTAGCATTAAACTTCAAACCAGAACCGTGTCTCCTCCAGCAGGTGGACACTGGGGGTGCTTGGGGGCAACCAATGCCCCACGAGGGTCACGGGGATCCGCTCCGAGGGGGCTGGGGGGACACGGCCCACGGTGCTGGGCAGAGCTGCAGGGCAGGGGCATGGAGGGGGCCTCAAAACCATGGAGCCCTTCCAACCTGGCTGCAGGGCAGATGATGAACTGCAGGCATCATTCCAGTGTTTGGGGAAAAATAAAGAATTCTCTCTTATCTCCTCCTAAATTCCACAGATTTCTGGAGAAGGGTCATAAGGCTGTGTGGCCAGCTCTGCTTTCACTCTTGCTTAGTTGCATTGCTCTGATTCATTTCATTGAGTTAGAAGTTGGATTTATGAAGTAATAAATGTGTCAGAATGCAGCCAAGAATGTGTCTGAACTGGCTTTCCAGGAACGCTGGGCCGGCTGACGGCAGTGGGAACTGCTGTGTCAGGAGCAGCCACCGGCAGCCGGGGAGTGCTACAAGAACACCCAGAAGAATTTTAATCCTTTTGCTTGCACAGACCATACCCTCCTCTTCCCATCACTGTTTTCCTCACCCTTCAGTGGCACCTCTGGAAGCAGGAACAGAACTGAGCTGAGTTTGCCTGTCTGGAGGGACAGCAGCCGGTGCATCCCTGTCCTGCCTGCAGCCTCAGACAGTTTCACCCCAAAGCTTGGGATCCAGAATGGGGAGCAGCTGCTGGGGCAGAGCTGGGGTGTGGTGTTTGCAGGGTCCTGTCTGCATCACTTGGGCTTTGTCACTTGCTTGGGCTCACTGGGTTAAAGTTTCAGTGCTGCTGTTGCTGGGCATTGCAGTGGGGGAGCAGCATTTTGTCCAACCTGTGACACGTGGGGATTCTCACAGGCTTCACCTCCCACCACCTGTGGGATCAGCTCCTTTCTAGACTGGCCCCCACACACTCTCCCCTGGAGCCACCAGGTCTCGGGAATTACAGAGATGTGGGTGTGCAGGCCCCACCATCAGGGTACCAAGGATGGGGAATATTTTCCTTGCAGGGAGGAGCTTTGTCCCACAGGGGTGGGACAGCCCAAGAGCATCGAGACCAGACCTTGGTTTGCAGGACTGCAAAGAGAAGCTTTATTTGATTTCTGTGTGTAGCACAGAGCTGAGGGAAGGGTGAGAGAGGGGAAGGAAGGGGGTGATAGTGGGAGAAGGTGCTTTTGATGATCCATATGGCAAGAACACATCAGCTGGGATCTGCTTTGCTGTGCTGGGCGAGGCTTGCAGCAGAACAGGCAGTGCCTCAGTGGGCAGCCTGGGTGATCTGCTCCCGGGAGGAGATCACCTTCCCATCCTGGACTTCCTCGAAGATGGTGCGGATCTGGCGGGTGGTTACTGGTCCTGCAATGGGGAAAGAAGGAACTGTTATTTCCAGGGCAGCAGGGAGGAAGTGTCTTAAGGATCTTTGTCTTAGAGATTTGTTACTACAATCATCACGTTAGAAACTCAATATAGCACCACATTCCCACTGCTAAATTGTACAGACTCAGTCTGTTCAGATAATTTCTGACACATGTTTTGGTATATCATAATATTTTTAATATAATAAACTTATTATATTGTAAAATTTTGTATATCAGTTCAAATTTGGGAAATATAATAAAATAGTAACTTTAGTAGAAAAGTAAAAGGAGTGCGTGCTAAGGTGGGTGAGGGTATGAGAGCTGTATATGACCAGAGCTTCGGCCAAGACCTGTTCTTACCTTCTTTCACAGGCTGTGAGACGTAGTGGGAAGACATGCTATGGGAGGAGAACAAGGAAAAGGTGGTGAGGAAAAGTGAGTCATCTCCAAGACAAAATCATTATTTAAACCCTGCCTTTATTTCTTGTACCAATATATGATTAAAATGCTGCCAGTGTCCCCACTCAAGGAAGAAGCTGGTAAGGATGGGAGTGTGACACAGGGATTCACACACCAGTGCAGCACCTGCTCCCTGCCCAGGACCACACACACGTGGAAGAACGGGAGGTGGAACCCAGGGATGCTGCAGGGCCGTTACAAGCACTGGGCTGTTGTGGGCTGGTGGGACTGAAAAGGGAGACCCTGTTGCATGCAATGGGTCAGGGAATGGGCTGAGAGAACTCTCCAGGGGATGCAGGTGGTTCATTTTCTCTTTCCTTTGCTACGACCCATCTCATCCCACCCTCCCTCCCAGCCAAGCCCCTCACGCACTGGGCATCCTCGCCCTCCAGGAGCCGGCGGTACGTGGCGATCTCCTGCTCCAGGCGGCACTTGACATCCAGCAGGACCCTGTACTCGTGGTTCTGGCGCTCCATGTCGCAGCGCAGCTCGGCCAGCTGCTC